CTCCCCGGAACCGTGTCCCAAACCCACCCATCACTGCAGCCACTGCCCCCCCGTGCACAGCCAAGGAGGAACCGGGGGGAGGAACCGGGGGCACTCGTGGATAAATGGCCCGCGGGAAAACAAGCCCAGGGACTGAAACGGGAGAAGGCAGAAGCTGCAGGTGCCCTGGAGCCCTGTGGAGGCCTTTTCAGACCCTCCTTGCTGAGCCCCTCCGTGTGCAGGGCAGCTGGTGGGCAAACACCCGGGCACCAACAGCCCCCCAGGCTCCCACCCCACAGAAGAGTCACCTCCAGCGTTTCCCACCCCCCAGCACGCAAAGCCCAGCTGGAGAACTGCAGCAGGAACTGGCTCTGCCAAGGTGACAAACAGGCACAGCCTCAGAAGTGATGGGTCCTGGGCTGCTGCTGCAGGCAGGGCAGGGCCACAGGGACCTGCAGCTCTTGCTCTGCCCTTCCTGCACCACATTCTATTGCCAAAATTGCAAGAGTTCTTATGAGTTGATACCTTCATTTATCCACAAGCAACGTGCAAGGGCCTGTCCCAGAGGCCACGCAGGAGCCCCCAGGCTGCACCACCATCACAGGGCTCAGAGAGCACGTCCTGCCTGGCAGGGCCCATCAGAGTTTGTTCTGGGGAAGGTCAGTGGGCAGTAAAGTGCTGGCATGAGGAGGGGCAGCATCAACCTGGCAGAGCATCAGCTCTGCCTGCACCCAGGGCAGCCACCACCTTCATAACCCCCACAGATACTGCACTGGCCAGGGCTGGGAGCAGGACATGCTGCAGAGCCACTCCAGAGCAGCTGCTCCCTGAAGTGTGGGAGCTGCAGATGGGCAGAGAGTTACCATCCCCTTCCAGCTTGGCCATTCATTAAACAGACTAACAAGTTCCAATAAATTATGGCTTTAAAAAAAAAAAAAAATCAGCTCCTGGCAGCACTAAGAACCACAGACATGAAAAGAAAGTCTGAGCTCTCCTGCCCAAAGCCAGGCTCACATGGGTGTCTGGAACAGCCACCACCACCAGGACAATGGCATGAGCTTTAAATGCTGCTTAGAGACAGTTTCTTATTTATAAATAAAAATAATGCACAGAAACATGACCCAGGGCTCTCCCAGGGGCTCAGAAGCAGCAGAGTTTGTACAGATGGAGTCTGAGGGCAGGTCTCCACTGCCAGCAGTTCACAGGAGCTGCTGGCACAGCTGCATCCCCCTCAGGAACAGGGGGTCCTGAGGACCCCCACCCTGAGCACTTACATTTCACAGGGACCCCAGCTCTGGCCATGGATCTTCTCCACCACAGAGCCCACATCTGGGCACAGAGCATTTGCCCCTGGCAGCAGAAGCAGCTTTGGGAACCCACCCGCCCCAACACCCAGTGCATTTACAATGTACTCAGAGAAAATACTGATTAAATGATGTCAGGCAGGAGGATTACTCATGTCCATGTAGAAAGTCATTGTTTGAAGCCCAGATGGCTGCGTAAGCTCTGCCACAGCCCTGATCAGCAGATGGGAACTGCAGGACTCTGTGGAAGGAGACTTCCCATCGAGTGCCCGATGGCAGCCCAGACCCACAGCCCACCTCACTCAGCCAGACAGGGCTCCAGAGCAAACACAGCTTACCTTTGTGTCCCTTTTCCTACAGAGCCACTTTCCCCTCTGTGTCCCACAGGACACACGTTTCACATGTGCTGGTTCAGACACCCATTAGATGTTTCTTTCAGAATCCTTTGAAGCAAGGAGGGGAGCCCAGCAAGCCCCAATAGCAGGGGAGCACATGGAGACCCAGAATGGGCACGGGAGGGGGAGCAGCTGGAGAAGGCTCTGGGGTGATGGGGCAGAAGCAGGCACCAGCCTGCCAGGGGGTTTCACCTTGTTGGTGAAACCAGAATTAGGTCAGAAGCCTAAGAAGTCCTACCTCTGGGTACTGTCCATCTTCCCAACATCACAATGCTGTCCCAGACTCTGCAGGAACATTTCCCATCCCTCAAACCACAGCATGGTTTAAAATCCTTGGTATAGCCTTGTGTGGCAGATACCTGAGCCCAGCCCAACCACCTGGAGAGGGGGGAAGAGCAAGCAAGGCTGGGTGAGCCTAGCACTGAGGAACAGCTCAGCCTTCAAGCCCCTTCAGGAAAATCAAATAAAGGAGATGAAGATGGAGCTCAGTGCTTTGGCTCCCCAGTTTATTTTAAAACACAGGCCTGCAGAAGAAACAAAAATAATGCCAGAAGTGAAGTCATGGTGCCTGCACTATCACAGCCAATTAGCACAAGGCTGACAAAGATTAGGCCCTGGGGAAGACTGTCCCTTTGTGCAGCCCAGCCAGGAGTGCTGCCAGGACAGCCCAGCACAGCACCTGCAGCCAGAGCTCAGGCTGGGAACACGGGGAACAGAAACTGCCCTTCCCCTGGGCTGAGCTGGCCCAGCCCTTCCCAGGGCTGCAGGCGGGGGCTCTGCTGGCCCCGAGCTGCACCCAGGGGCACCAACCTGCTCCCTGGGCTGCAGAAAAGGAGTTTTCCCAGGCTCCCTGCCACTGCTGCTGCCTGCTGCTTCTCCTCAGCCAGCCCCAGGTTACAAGGGTCTCTGGCACGATCTCCAAAAGGCAGTTTTGCAGCTGCACCAGGACTTGTTTAGCCCCAGCCCCTCTGCCCTGGCAGCCCCCCCAGCCCA